AAATGATTTATCCACATCATCCGTTATAATGCAGGGGTTCACCCCCTAGTGTAAATGCAGCGTGGGGAATAGTAGAAATAAACAGGATTAAAGACCAGTTTTGAGAGGTAATTAAAAAAATGTTTATTGATGGCAATATTACAGTTAAACAGTAACAGAAAAGGTAAACTCAAAAATAATTACACTTGTAAAATGGGTATTAGTATTAGCTTAAAATCACAATGGATCACAGGGGTTCTATCAAGAAAGTTTGGGAGCCATTGATATAAGCCACGATTATTTGCGTGATTTATGTTTGTATGTGGCTTCCACACTAATATGATTACAGGTGAGCCTTTGTAAGTCTTTGCAGAGAGAATATGGATTAAAACATGCGAGAAAATCAGCTTTTACTAGAAAAAACCTTTTATCCTAACCCCATGACATATCTTTAAGCATGTTATTAAACAAACCGACAAAATATCCAGATAGGTCAACAGAGCAAACTGCTTTACTTTGACAAAGTTTCATGCTTGCTTTCTACAACACACATTCTATGACACACATGCTTATCTACATTTAGATCCACATAAAAGAAGTTTACACCAACATGTGTTAGAATATAGGAGTGTGGGAACAGGGTGGGAAACGGTGTGAACATAACTGTAAGATGCATTAAGTTTATTTCTAATGTTGCAGTTCCTAGTGACACTATTTGTTCCTCCTATTGATTATCCTTTACTTTCCTTTTTCCCTATTTCATCATGCAAACTGTGTGTTTTCATATGTCAGCACTGTGTGTGTGACAGTTGGATGATGAATGCCCTGATGGCTTTGGGGTCAGTGTCACAGACAGTGTTGTCAATTGCACCTTCTCCCCTGAGTCTAACCTTGAGCAAAAGCCCCAGAAGAGAGCTCAGTGTGCTTTTAAGGTCAAGTCATGCTCACACAGACACACATCCATTCCTTGCTGAGTCTGTGCCATTAGTAGCTGGTAAGGCGCGCTTTGACAAAGAGGGATTAGCTCTCTATCATGTGTATCGATCAGCTTGTCCTGGCTGGTTCTCCAGAGGAGGGGCTGGCGGGGTTTAACAAGGCATTGGGGACACACACCAATACATGCAGACACAAACACACATGCGCAGCTATAGAGATTATTGTTTATCTACACTATGTACAATTTTTGTTGTTCAAAGCTACTGGTCAGACTTCTCTGTAAAATTTATTTGGATATAAATAGCTGTTTAATCAAGATTTAAAGCATTTCTTTTTCTTTTCTTTTTTTTTTACTTTTTTAGTGTTTCATCACAAAAAAAACATAATTTCTTTATGTCTGAGGCAAAGCATTCTACCTCTACATTTGAAACAAGATGTTTACCAACATTTTATGAATTTAAAATTTTTTTTTTAGCACAGTCGTTAAATTAGACTTTTCGTTTTTTTTTGTTTTTTTTTTTATCTGTGAGGTTTTATAACATTGATATAGAATTTGTATTGCTAAATTGCAGGGTAAGAAGTGTCTTCGTTTTTATCAGTAAATTTGTATACAATTTTGTACTATTTGGTTGAATTTCCTTTAGAATTGGATTTATTGGTCAAACTTTTGCATATTATTCCAAAACCTCCTCACAACTGTAACCAGGAGTTTTGGCCCATTTCTCCTGTAAATACCGGTGTGTATTAGTGGTGTTTGTAGGTTAAATCTGTCAAACGATTTGGCTCTGCTTTTAAATTTTCTAAAGGATCATAACATTTTAAGGTCCACTTCAAAACATTGAATTTGTTTTGCTTATACTATTTTATAATTTTTATAACTTTGCAACATTATTAGATTAATTATCCATCGTGAAGATCTGTATCTACCTACAGTTATAAAATTATGTAAATTTATGTTATTTCCCCTCTTTATTCCTTAGTGATTAATCTGTTTGTCACAATTTAATATTTCAGAACATTAAACAAATGTGTTTTATGTTTAGTGTTGCGCCAATGCCATTTTTTGGCACCGATACTGATACCCGATGCCTGGCTGTGCAGTATTTGTCGATACCGATACCATCTGTTTGAAATTGATGTGTGTGTGCATATATCAAGAACTGCATACTACTTGGATGTAAAATAATTGCCATCATGGCTTTGTCAAGCTGCTGCCTACCTTTGTGAAGCAGGAAAAAGACTAATACAAAGTGAGTCCAGTAGAACTTTCTATTGCCTGCCTGGAATGGGTGACAATAGTGGAATACATTTTTGGCTCTCAAAATCGGTGCCCTATTTGTTGGTACTCGGCAATACCGATACCACTATTTTAGTGCTGGATCGGGGGCCCATCCCGATACTGGTATCAGTGTCGATGCAACGCTAATGTATATATCTCAGTACAAATGTCTGACTAGTAGTTTAATCTCAAGAATAAAGTCAGAATTCTGCCAAAATTGCACATGCATAATAAATAGTGATACGAGCAGTTTTATTTAAAACACAAGCATCTAAATTACTCTCCACATGCATTTTGAACATTTTGAACCCCCATGAGACCCCTAATATGTCACAATCATGAGTTTATGCTCTTTCTCTGCGCTTTCTTACTTTTTATGCACTAGATTCCCTCCTACTCATGTGTTGACCTGTCTCTTTGCACTCATGTCAGCTTTTTGCCACTTAGAGGGAGGAACAAGCTTGTAGAGGTACACTGCCTGTGATTAGCTGATGTTCAGTAAATCCTCCCTGTACTTTTTTTTTTAATGTGGCTACTACTAAAGTCAGGGAAGGCTGGACTTCATAGCCAAACTCTTCTAGTCCCCCTTATTTTCATGGACCTCCATGGAAGTCCATTTAGACCGGGTCCTGGGAGAACGCACCACTGAAATTGAGCACAGCCTTTGTTTCTCTACAAATAGAATCATTACCTCATAGCTAAACATCTTTCACACAGTCACTGGAAACAAAAATTTAGATCAATCCAATTGCAGGCGGATTGAACTGTGTAGTGTGGTTAAATCCTGACTGAGATTTTACCACACTATGCACTGGTCCTCATTAAAAGATGCTGTCTTACTTCGGACAAAACAATATAGCTTTTGCTCACTTACAGGAGCCACTGTTACTGCTTTAAATGACAATCCAAAGAAATCAAATCTGGCTTTACGCTTTGGAAGGATATAGAAATGTGTAAAATGTGAGCGTATTGAAGTTTAACTCAGACATTACCAGCATAATTTTTAAACATTTTCTGTCATTTTTTCACAAAAGGTTATTAAAAGGGAATTATATGTCATTTAAAGGTATAAAGGACGATCTTTTATTTCCAGGTGGATCATCTAGATGAGTGGTCCTCCTAATTGTCAATCATTCTGGTGATATGTTTAAGTAAGGCCGTCCTACGTGCTCGTCCTGTTAACTATATTTTTCTACACATGCGTGGTGTTTGGTGAGCTACGGTTTCAGCCAGTCATTGAAGCTCACCTTTCTCACCACGGTTCTTTGAAAATGAGAAGAAAAGAAAGGCCTCAGAAGAGGCTATATTATATTATGGGATTTTCTGTCACAGTGGCCCGCTGTCGCCATAGGCTTTCACTACCCCGCTATAGCGACTAATAACAAAGATTGCGCTGGCACAGTGCGGTGGAGGAGGAGTTTTGTGACCAACGGGGAGCAAAAAGTAGTGATCATCTTTCCAAACGGTCACTTAACTGAGTTCACTATAAAGTCCACTATATAGTCCACGCTCTATACAGCGATTGAGGGATTTAGGAGTTAGAGCGGATGTTTGGACACAGTAAGCTTGTATGAGCTATGAGAACAGCAACTTTTAAACCAAGCATGCACAAGGAGAAATGGGCTTGTGCACGTCCTCGCATGTGTTGAATAGGCCTTACCTCTTGGGAGTGGATACAAGGTTGTGCATCTGTATTTCTTTTAAAGTGGAGAGGGCGGGTCTTTTCAAAAATTTGTGAAAATCCTCCACTATCAGTTCACCTCTAGAAATCTAATGATCAATCTGCACAATGTTTTTGTGTTGCAGTGTAAAGTTATTTATTTACATTGTATTTCTTAAGTATGCAATATAGCCTGGTGTTTTGAATAAGTAAAAAAAGTTCCCTTTTGCTGCTCAGCATTTAGTTAAAAGTTCACAGGGTGTCTTTAAAGCAGTACTGATCATATGGCGACTTAATAAGCAGAGAATTCTCTCTGTTAGCAAATCTGCATTCAAGGCACATCCTCTCTCTGTCCTGTGTGTTTAATGTCTCGTATGTAGCGTCCTTATAACAGCTGTCTTTCGTGGGTAGTTAAGACCAGCTCCTAGCTTTTGTTAATTGAGTCTAATTGAAGTACATGAAGGGAGAAAAAAGGCAGCAGGCTTTTATGACATAAAAGACTGCAGCCGCCTCTCAGTAGTATTTATTTTCAACCTCTTCCACTCTGATTTAAGTGTGAGCGGACAATAGTGGCCTGACAGTGATATGTATGCACGTGGGTGCGTGCGCGTCTGTGTGTGATCTGTCCTTTGATTTACTGCGCCCACCTTCACAAGGACCAGCCTCTTATCAGATCAAAGCCACAAGCAGGCGGGCTATGAAAGGCGGTTGGGTGTGCATGCATGTGCTCTGCAGAGGACTGAGGTGTGGAGGAGATGGGAGTGTTTTTGTTGCTTTTAACCCTGGACAATGACACTGCAAAGGAGAGAGCAAGTGAGCACTCTTTGAACTAATGAAGCAAACCTTTTACACTTCTTCACAAAGTTGTCCTCTCTCTCCACACAGTATGGATTTTTCTCCCTGGTTTCCAAGTATAATAAAACAAAAGGGAACCAAGCATTTTATTCGCTGCATTCTTGTTAGTTTTTGGTTTCCTCTCTCGAATCCCGATACTTCAAAGATGCAGATTCATCAAAGGGCAGCTGCTGGTTTTTCTTTCCACTTGCTGAGGCAAGCTGGATTTGATTAGATTTTTTAAAATAATTTTAAAAGGGAGAGAAAGAGATTGAAGTGTCTTAAAAAATTATTTTGTTTCTGTTTCTTTAGGTTATCTGGGTGCAAAGGCAACGCAGTCTTTACAGAGCCAAACGGGTGCCGCTGACGGGACAAGACTATGATCAGGCAAAAAGTATGTTTGAATTAAAGTTATCTTTGTAAATATTTTACCTTCTAGCCAAGAAATTGATTTGAAGCCTGGATTTGGGTCGAGTGCTACAAATGTCTCCTTTCTTATGTGAAGCCATTAAAGGTATTTTGGAGAATTTTTTTGCTGATTTTTGAAAAGACCCGCCCTCTCCAAAAAAACAATGCACATGCACAACTCTGTGCCCGTTCCTGAGAGGGAACGCCTATCATACACGTTCGAGAGCGTGCACAAGCCCATTTCTCCTCGTGCACACTCTGTTTAAACGTTGTTGTTTGCATCGCTCATACAAGCATACTTTCTAAAAGAAGATTTGTAATTTTTCCACTATGTCAGACTCACCATCAGGAAGTGAAAATGGGGGAGAGCAAGTAGGATGGCCATATGTAAACATCACCAGAATGATTGACAATCAGGAGGAGCACTTATTTTGATGATCCACCTGGAAAAAGAATATCCTCCACTATATCTTTAAAACTTAAAAAAAAAAAACATCTCTAATCCAAATAAGGCTTCTGGAGTAACTTTGCTTCTTTTCCTTCTCAGATTTTTTTTTTCCGAATAATATTTATTCTATTTCAGATGTGTTTTTTATATTTAATTTTTGATTTCTTTATTCTTTCAAACTTTATTTTTGCATTTTTTGAACAGATTTCATATTTTCAAATTTTGTTGGTTTAAATCTTTTTTATTATTGAGTTTATTAATTTTTAATTTTTATTTTTTAATTGCATTCTTTTCAAACTGAGTTTTTCAGCTCCCATTCTTTTCACTTCTTGCCTAAGATGAATGTTTGCACTAACATGGAGCAGAAAAATAGAAATGCATCTTTGCACCTCACTCCAAAGGAAAGTTTCTATAATAAAGAGTTTTACTATCTGAAACAAGAACACCCTTTTCACAATACTGTAATAGATTAAATATTAGCTTTACTGGTTGTTAAATCAGGTATATATTTATATTTTCTCTATTATATATATATATATATATATATATATATATATATATATATATATATATATATATATATATATATATATATATATATATATATATATATATATATATATATATACTTTTTAAATATATTTTAAATGTGCTAAAATAATTTAAATAATACTGATTTTCAGTATACTGTATATCAAGCAGCTAAGGAGAGGATAAATTATGACATTTTCTGTATTATCTTAAAAATTCAGTTTTTAAAGATTAGTTTTTGTTTGGCATCAGCCTGCAGATTATGTTTGGCCTCATTATAATAATCTGTGTGCTTCATCAGGTGACGTTCTCTGCGAAGTTGATCATTTTCTGCCGTCTCTGTGTTATGATGGAGGGCGTGCACATGAGTGATTAATGCTGTGCAGCGTGTAGAAGTAGGAAGCTCAGTCAAAGAAAGATTAAATCTAACAATGAAGAATCACCTCAGATGCATAAAGTGTGTAAAATGGGAAAGGTGCAAATGAACTGCAAAAGACTGAGGAAAGAGTTCTATAGGAGTGATTATGCTTCAGTGTTATCTTTCGGCACAGTGTGTTTATTTCCAATGTGTGACTGAGGTAAAGTAAGCTGAGACATAAGAATCACTCAGATTGATAAGCTGAAGCATTGGGTTTAAAGCAAAAGATCCTTAAAGACAGATGATCAAATATAAATCCATAAATTCCAAATGACAAATATCAGAATTTGTATGATGGCATCTATAATCTCTGATATTTTAGAAATACTCTGCTTCTGTTAAAAGTTTTTGTAACTCATTTAGATCATTTTACATTAGTCAGTTGTTTTCATACCATTTGTCGTTGACTTTTGTTCCCTTTTTTAGTAATTATTTTCTAACATTCTACAGCAAGCGCTGCTATCCTGTACCTTTTTGATATACCCAATGTTTGACATACCTGAATCAAATGAGGGGCTCTTACCATGCCTTGGATTGAGTCTTTGGATTCAGGTGTCTTATACAAGAGAGGCATCTAAAAGTTATAGGATGGTAGCTCTTGAGGAAGCTGGTATGATTTTAGGTAATATTGTATCTGGTCAGTATCGATATTTGGCAATTCTCAAAGCTGCAATACCGATATCGTATCGGGAAATATAAAGTTGTATCAGGACACACCTAGTAAATTTTTCAACAATTGAAAGTATAAAAAAATTAAAAGGGAAATTTCTGCTCACAGTTAGGCCTGCAGATGGTTCATATTAGCGAGCGGCTCATACAACTTTGTTAAAGGCCAACACCAATCATTCTAACTGATTTTCAGATATGTGGGCCAATATTTGTGTGCCAGTTCTTTAAGCAGATGTTTTTTTTCTCCCCATGATAACACTGACAATGATAACCTATGTTAAACATGTCTAAGTTTAATTAAAATTATACGTTTAACAAATGAAACAAAACATTGTTAGATTTACCTCCCTCTGTTGGTGCACTAAATGATTTACAAACCATTGTCAAGCATGTAGGAAAAACTATGGAAGCCCCAGAGTGACATTCTATTTTTTTTTAATCAAGGAGACACATCAACCTATGTCACCATAGACAAATTAGCTAAAATAAACGATGAAGCATTTATCTAAAAACAGGACTATAAGAGGACTACGTCTTTTATGACTTCTGAGAAGAATAACAACTTTAGCATCAGAGCATTTCCAGTGTTTGTTAACAAATTAGCTGTCTCTGTTGGGTGGACAGATCAGTTACTGGACTATACTGCCCAGTTTCCAACATAACATAACTGTCCTGCAGGAAGCCTGAAACCTCAGCATGTGCTTTACAGCCAGAAATATCACTTAAAAAAAAAAATAAGGCTGCTAATATGTTCTGGAAATGTATGTCAAAAACAAAGTTATTTCCCGTTTTAAAAATGAAAAAAAAAAAAAAAAAAAAAAAAAATATATACACTATATTGCCAAAAGTATTTGCTCACCCATCCAAATTATTGGAATCAGGTGTTCCAATCACTTCCATGGCCACAGGTGTATAAATTCAAGCACCTAGGCATGCAGACTGTTTTTACAAACATTTGTGAAAGAATGGGTCGCTCTCAGGAGCTCAGTGAATTCCAGCGTGGAACTGTGATAGGATGCCACCTGTGCAACAAATCCAGTCGTGAAATTTCCTCGCTCCTAAATATTCCACAGTCAACTGTCAGCTGTATTATAAGAAAATGGAAGTGTTTGGGAACGACAGCAACTCAGCCACGAAGTGGTAGGCCACGTAAACTGACGGAGCGGGGTCAGCGGATGCTGACGCGCATAGTGCGAAGAGGTCGCCAACTTTCTGCAGAGTCAATCACTACAGACCTCCAAACTTCATGTGGCCTTCAGATTAGCTCAAGAACAGTGCGCAGAGAGCTTCATGGAATGGGTTTCCATGGTCGAGCAGCTGCATCCAAGCCATACATCACCAAGTGCAATGCAAAGCGTCGGATGCGGTGGTGTAAAGCACGCCGCCACTGGACTCTAGAGCAGTGGAGACGCGTTCTCTGGAGTGACGAATCGCGCTTCTCCATCTGGCAATCTGATGGACGGGTCTGGGTTTGGCGGTTGCCAGGAGAACGGTACTTGTCTGACTGCATTGTGCCAAGTGTAAAGTTTGGTGGAGGGGGGATTATGGTGTGAGGTTGTTTTTCAGGAGCTGGGCTTGGCCCCTTAGTTTCAGTGAAAGGAACTCTGAATGCTTCAGCATACCAAGACATTTTGGACAATTCCATGCTCCCAACTTTGTGGGAACAGTTTGGAGCTGGCCCCTTCCTCTTCCAACATGACTGTGCACCAGTGCACAAAGCAAGGTCCATAAAGACATGGATGACAGAGTCTGGTGTGGATGAACTTGACTGGCCTGCACAGAGTCCTGACCTCAACCCGATAGAACACCTTTGGGATGAATTAGAGCGGAGACTGAGAGCCAGGCCTTCTCGTCCAACATCAGTGTGCGACCTCACAAATGCGCTTCTGGAAGAATGGTCAAAAATTCCCATAAACACACTCCTAAACCTTGTGGACAGCCTTCCCAGAAGAGTTGAAGCTGTTCTAGCTGCAAAGGGTGGACCGACGTCATATTGAACCCTATGGATTAGGAACGGGATGTCACTTAAGCTCATATGTGAGTCAAGGCAGGTGAGCAAATACTTTTGGCAATATAGTGTATATATATATATATATATATATATATATATATATATATATATATATATATATATATATATATATATATATATATATATATATGTTAAAATTGGAGTCATTTTTGGGGGGCAAATTCAATGCAATTAGTCAGAAACATGAAACATGGATTTGTAGTCAGATAATTAGCTGACTCTTCATTAATTTTAGCCAAAGTGATGAAGAGCCATTTTTGAGGGTCTAAAGAGCCACTTGCAGCTCCAGAGCCCCAGGTTGCAGACGCCTGCTTTAGACAAAGTTTTAAGGGTTTACATATGTAGCACTTTTTTATGACATATACGGCTAATTATATGCCTGTCTGGGGGTACGTATATTTAGATTTCATAGCATTGTTCCACTCTACACAATTATTACAGCTGTATTTCCCAATAGGAAACTGAAGCAAGCATATTTGGATTTTTACTTATGTTTTTTCTTCCAAGATGTTCTTTTATATTGAAACAACGAAGGTTAAAATAAAGAAGGATCTTTAAAAATAAAATGCAGATCAAGATCAGGGTTGTAGATATGCCAGTGCTTTTTAAAAGGATGATTTTCTGAGAGGAGTACATTCAACTGAAAGCTTCCTTTGTTTTTCTTTTTTGTCGTTAGTTACAGTAATTAAAAGCCATTTAGAAGAGTGTAAATGTTTTTCATTTCAACAACCTTTTCTTTAAAGTCTTCTGTGAAGTGGGAAAACCCTCTATTAACACATCATTTTTTTAATTAGTCTCTTTTTGGATGGATGGTTGTAGTTCAGGAACTTTTAATTTGAGCTTTTTTTATATTTGACTATAAACAAGTGAACTAAACAGAACTAAAAC